TGAGGTTGAAGAGGAGGAGAAGAAGAAGAAAAAGCAAAAGATAAAGAAGAAAAAAAACTATATCTCAGAGCAATACTGGGTTTCTGAAGCATCTTAATATTGACAGCAAAACAATCTACCAGCTACTTCTTACCCCATCTTTGCTGGAGTTTGTTTCTGGTCTCCAGAGCTTTAGCATATATGTGGAGGAAAGCAGTCAACTGGCAGCCAACTTAACGCTTTGTCAATATAACGCGTCCACCTTGGAGCATCTATATTTCTATTTTAGTGGTATGCATTCACTATACTCTGAAATAATTTACTAATAAAATTAGGAAATTATTTTACTGCTAGTGGTCCACAGCTCCTAGCACAATTCTCTGGCATCTTTTCTAATCTGGAAAGAGTCACTTTGGACACATTTGGAATCAAGGACTTCAACTTCTATGCAGAGCTGATTAGAGATGGTTTTTCAATCACTGCCACTCCCAATTTACATACGCTGATCTTCGAACACGAGCTAGAAGATCTTGCAGAAGAACTACATATTATATCCGATATGTCTTCTTTGGACTTTGCTCTCAGTCAGCATCCAACTATCCAAATCGTAAAATGGTTTCCCCGAGCTCTACTGAACGATGATCAGGAGACACAGATCAAGCTCTTTTTGGAAAATCTAGCTACATCTTTCCCCTTATCTTCTGTCAAACATTGGAACTTTAGATAAAGGTCTATTTCAACTACATCTTTTATGTGAATATAGTAGTAGATTCTTTGCGGAGCAATACTAGATTCTATAAAAAGATTTAGATATGTGAATCATATTAGTAAAATGTACCTTTCGGAGCTGATAGAGCTGCATCAAAATCCTATCACCCTCTTCATAAAAACTGTTTAGTCTATAATAGTCTATCAGTAGTATATTGTAACAGGGCTTTAAAATCATACTCAGCAGTTTTAGCATTACTAGATGCCACAAGTGCCAAGAAGTCCTTTCCCTCTTCAGTTCCCTGAAGCTTTTCAAGGAGTTTAGGTGGCACTTCTAATTCCTTTTGACCTCTTAAAAGATTAAAGAATAATTTTATGCAATATATCTAGTCAATTAACTTACATGAATTCCACAGGAAATTTCTTGTAGGTAGTCTCAACTTGGCTGAGAGCAAAGGTTATCTGACTGAGAAGCAGCTCAATCTGAGGCCCATTCTTCTGAGACATTGCAAAGCCTTCTTGTTCTGCTTTATCAATTGCAAAAGCTTTGTCTATCAAGATTCTTCTGAGCACTGCTTGTCCAGCTTGAATAGTGATCTTGTGGGTCTCATCAATATCGGGAAGGGTGAGAAGCCCCTTCAATTCTTCAAGCATTTTCAGGGCCCGGGCTGTAGAAGACATGATAAAATTATATAATCAATCAAACCATTCCTTCTTCCTTACCATATCAAATGGATTTATCAGCTGTGTCCTTGCGTTCAGATCTTGTTGCTCTGGATGAAGATATTCTTAAACTTCAACAGCAGCTTGATAATCAAATTAGAAAACGCCAGCATATATCTGCAGAACTTTCCAAAATTCCATATCGAAAGATCTCAGAGGTTCCTACAGAGCTTATTAGTCGCATTTTTAAGCTTTTGCTCTATTCTCAATCACAAGATGAGCTTTTCCAACAGCTCAAAACTCTGCTTGTTGTCTGTACACGCTAGTACCATATTATCATAGAGGATTCAATCTGGGCTACCCTTGCTGTTACCTCTAGAGGAGATTGCAATCATTTTCACTCATGGCTAGCCAAGCCATGTACATTTCCTCTATCAATCGACATACAAAATGCTGAGAAGCATATTGAAATTCTTAATCTGCTTCTTGAGAGCCCAAGGGCATGGAAAAGTTTTTCATGCACTATTGACTTGGCTATGGTCAAGGGTCTTGCAGAGTTGTCTGTTGACAGACTGTCTATCTTAGAGAGTCTTTCTTTGAAGGCTGATCCTCAAGAGTCCTCTTTTGTCATATCTGCATTTCAAAATTGCTTAAAGCTTGATACTCTTACACTTAAGCATCTATCAGCAGCTCAGGTTAAGGTTCCTTGGAATCAGCTACTATCACTTAATTTTCAAGAAAATGAAGCAGATGCTTTATTTTCAATCCTACAACATACTCCGCAGCTGCAGCGACTGGAGATTGCTGTCCAGTCAACATTCAATGCACAAGCTCAAACAATATACTTAAGCAATTTAACAACACTCATTGTGCATCAAAAAATGCTTAATCATGACTCTGGTGCAATAAAAAGCTTGATTTTACCAGCCTTGGATTATCTGGACATAGATCTTGTAGATCAAGCAACCTACAAGCAGATTATATCTCTATGTGATCGTTCAGCTTGCTGTTTAACTTATCTATGCATTCAGCAGGTTGGAGCACAGCAGTATGCTATAGACCTCCTGGATAACAAAACAATGCAGCAACTTACAAATCTTGAAGTGCATGACATCTTTTGGGAGGAAGACTGGTCATTACTTGAGTTTTTGGCTACTGGTAGCTGTCCTAATCTTTCAACACTGACTATTACAATTACACAAGAGCAACTTCCTACTACTGCTATTGCATCCTTCTTTGTGGACCGTAACAAGAATCTCCCAGCAAAGAGCTTGGAAGTTTTTGACTTTATAGTCCTTGAGGACAATAGTCAAAACAAGTTGGAGCTGAATACCAGTTTACAACAACTGTTTCTCAAATATCCATGCAAACTTTATCTGGAGGGTTTAGACTCTAAGGTACAGTTTTTTATACTCAAGGATATTTCATTAACTAACTTGTGATATAGGTTCTTCAAACAGATCAATGATGATATAGTTGGTCTGATTACAAATTTCTTGTATTACCTTTTCATATCAAACCTTCATGTCCGAACCATCTTCAGCAACTATAGCTATAAAGCCCTTGACTTCAGAGGAAGAGGGTAATATGCATTCTTACAAACAATTATGGAAAAGTAGTTCAAGCAAGAACTGAAAAGCCTATTCGTCAGGGTTCAACAGCATCTATGTTAGCTGGAAATGTTGAGCTTGCCTATATGCCTATCCGGGTTAAGCAACTCCCTGTCCCTGTCATAGAGACAATATTTCAGACAACCTCTGCTCAGATTGCAGATGCTGTTTTAGAAATCTATGGAGAGCGCTTTCTAGTCTCTGGCTACTATTCTGCTACTTCTCCAATCAATGGTGGAATCAAACATTTTAGTGGGATTTCTTGGCGAGGAGAGATATCTGTCATTGGATTGGGAAAAGTTATACCCTATCTTGCAACAACAAAGACAATTCATGCACGGCTAGCAGCCAAAAGGTTGGTTTATATGATTTATAATATTGAGCTACTTGACATATTTATAATTAGATTTATGCAGGTATACTTGTATCATATGCGCAGACGCCAGGAGATTCCTACAGTAATGTAGAGAAGTGACTGCTAGAATGAGAGAAAGTTGGATGGAGAATCTGATCTATTGATCATCATCAAACTGATAGTTATCTTCTTTTCTTGAATCGTGTCAATATGCATGAATCTAGTGGTTCTGACTTTACTGGATATGAACAAGAACTGAGTATGTCTGCAAATATATACTTACTGATAGCAACCTTTAAAAGATATAACAGGTTCTAGTATAAGGTTTTTCCACTGCTTAAGTTTTGTAAGTTTCTCTGATGAATCTTTAGATGGTCTGAAGGTATGGAAGCTTATGAATCTTTTTATGGAGCTATAGCTTGTTTGCATAGAAATGACCTCAACACAATCATCAGGCTATTATCTTCGTTTGTTTAAGCTTTTATCAGATGGTGAATACTGATAAAAACAAAATTAGCCATATCTATGCAGTCAGACATGGGGATAATAGATGAGGATGATGAGTCAAGTAGTGAAGATGAGGAGAATAACAGTATCTCTTCTCCTCCATTATCAACAATATCAGGTGGGTGCTTGATATTTTATTATTAACTAAACTTATTTGTGGACAGGAAAGGGCAAACAAAAAGCACAGACTACTAGGTTCTCATCTCAGCAAAGAGTCAATGAATTTCAAAGAGTATGGCATGCATCACAACAATCTGGCTCTATTCAGAATCAGGAGAGTCAAAATAATATTCCAAGTCAGACTGTAAGAGCTATATATATATTGACTAATAGATACTTACTTCTGCTATTCTAGTTTGCAACACAATCTGATATTGAGAATCTGCAGAATCAAATGAATAAAGGACTTCATCAGTTATTTCAATTGATTTCTGAAAACCAATCCTCTCGTCTGTTTCCTTTTACCATATATATCCTTTCTGATATAATATTCAACTTAGGAAACTCTAAACAGAGTTCTAGACAGAGTTCCAGAGCACAAACTCCCAATCTATCCAGAAATCAGGAGTCTGGAGCACCATTCCACCATTCCCAAGTGTTTTCATCAACACCACCACCAGGATCTGCTCCACCAGTGCCTCCTAGGCCTTCACCACCCAGACCTCCACCTCCACCACCCAGACCTCCACCACCTCTACCATCCAGACCTCCACCACCACCACCACCTCTACCTCCATCCCAACCTGGACCCTCAAATCATTATTCATCTCAACACTTTAGTTCCTTCAGCTATCCAGGATTAAGCAGACCCTATCCAGTATCTTCCCCTAAAAAAACTGGTGGTGCAAAGAGACAAAATGCAGATGTTCTGACATTATCAGTAGGCTCTCTTATTTATTATTATATATATATGCTTTGCTGACTTGATTTATTAGAGAAATGTCCGCAAAGAATTTGACAAACTAGTGCCTTATAAATCTCAAATCATTCCCTCTGTGGAACCATATGAGATTGTTGATTTTGAAGTCAATCTTGAGCCACTGGGATATGAAGCCACAACACTTCAATTTTTTCGATTTCATCTAGAGGGAAAAGCAAAATCTCCCTGGAATAAATCTTCAGCTCGTGTCTTTGCAAAATATATGATTCAGGAATATGGCTATCCAAACACATATGCCATGACTAATGCAATTTGCGAGTCCTTTGCAACCTATCTACGGACTATTCAGAAGCGCTGGAGAGAGTCCAAAAAGGAAGCAAGTATTCAATTGCACAACAAGGTCAAAAATCGACGCCAGGTTCGAAAATACCAGGTATGAATATCTATATATACTAGACAGTTTGCTCATCTTTTCTCTAGCTGTTTCACCAACGTCGCTATCTAGCCTATGTTTTTGCTCCATTAAGAAAGCATGCTGATATGCTAGAGCAATTTGGAGTTGATGGCATGTCTAGTGATGAATCAGAGGTTGATGAGGAGGGTGTTATATCCTTCCAATCACATATGCCTGCATGGAGGGCAGAAATTGTGACCATCTGGTTACATTTATTTGATGTGCTCCATTCTATGTTGAGGAAGACTTCTCTTGGGCCCAAGGGGGGTCTGCTCCTAGACAACGTAAACATCTACGGAAGGTCTCACAAACAGCCAGCAGTGTTCCTGGTTTACCTATTAATGCTTATGATTCTCAATGGCAACAAGCCAACTCTCAAACCTGGGCTCAGTTTTTGCAGCCAACAGCACCATATGACTTTTCTCATGATCCATCTGCAATGAAGTATGTTTCTAAACTGATCCTTGCTAAGGCTTTGACTGACCATTTCATTAGCTGGTTCTCATCACAATCCTCAGGAATCTAAGCTATAATAAATATTTACAATCAGTTTTTAGTTATAAAGCCATCTTACTTCAAATGACCATATTGTTTAGTTGTATTTGATTACAAATCATTATCTAATCAGAAGCAGTTTGTCTTATACCACGATCTCTGATAAATGTCGCTACAAACCATAAACCAAATCTTGCAAGCTTTGCTCTATCAAGAAGTAGACAATAGTTCTATCCAAGGTTAGTTTTCATTGAAATATTTCTGCTAAATCTCAAAGTCGAGCTAGCACTTCGCAAAGATCTTCAAAGCATAGATGACACCAGATTTAGACTTGATCAACTCGATAATCTGGTATCTGAGCGACTTTGGAAGCTAATTAAAAGCCAGATTCCAAATGAAATCTGGCTTGAAATCTTTAGACATTATGCAAATTCTAGAGATGCTGATGTGTTTACTCTTGCTCTTGTTTGTCATCAGTGGAAGAACCTGGTCTTATCAACTTCTACTTTTTGGAACAACTTCAATGCCTTTAGGTTTCATTATGATCATCGCAAAAGAAACCATCTAGTTAGATGTTTGCGCTACTCCAACAGCCTTACTCTGGATCTTCGCTCCTGCCTTCCCACTACAGCACTGACTATACTGTCAAAGGCTGCTCCATTCTCAGATAAATGGAAGAGATTATACAATCCTGGTTATTCACCAGATATGTTGACAATACTTCATAATCATCTTCAAGGATGCCAATTCAACAAATTGACTACTCTTGGCATCATAATAGATAATGATTATGATTCGTCTATCCCTCTCTTAGCTTTCAAAGCTACTCCCTTACTTGAAAATTTGGAATTGGGCGGAAGAGCCACACCATCCAATCTAATACTCTCATGGTCTAACTTGAGATCTCTCAAAATTAAGCATCAAACAGTCTATTTGACCATCAAGATTCTTCAAGCAACTCCCAATCTTGAGGCTTTGAGCCTCATGGGCAGTGAGATTTTCCCAGATACTACTGTGCAAGTTTCCACAGAAGAAATCTATTTGCTTAAACTCTCTAAGCTTGAAATAGGTCCTGGCATTCCATTAAACGCAATTGGGGTTCTGCATGTTCCAGCTCTCAAAATACTAGGAATTTCTGGTTTAGGACAAGAAACTTTTCACACTCTATTGAAAATAATCAACAAACATCGTTGCTCAATTGAATCTCTAGATGTGGAGGAGTACCATCATTGGTGGCAGACATTTCAAATGTTACTTGAAACCATGTCTTCTACCTTGCATCAACTATCTGTGCCATTAAAGTATCTGGAAGCATACAGGTACCCCTTCTTCAGACAGGCATTGCATACAAGAGACTTTCTTCCTGCACTCACACATCTTTATATAAAACAGGACAAAGATAGAAAAAACATTCCTATATCTCTTAAACAGATCATAACCAAGCGAACTGACTTAAAAATTTCTGTTGTACATGTGTAGATCAGTTTTTTTTTTCCAATATATATAGGCGAGAAAACTACTGGTTTTTTGTTTGTTTGTATAATTAAATGTCTTAAGGAAGTATGCCCAAGAGTCTGTTGTACTTTAGTATATTGTACATATAAACAAAGCTACCTCAAATTTATGCTATATGTTGTTTCAGATATGGTATATAGACAAATCTGGAACAGTATTGAACCATAGTATACCAGCTTAGTGTGCTAGTAGCATATAGAGTAGTATGAATGTATTTTGTCTAATTAGAGTAAAAGTGCAAAGACAGAAAGAAATTGAACTTGTAGTGCTTATGCATTAGAGCAGCGTGAACAAATGAAGTAATACATCAATGTAGTAATCATAGCTTACTTTCCATCTCTCATTATGACTTTCCTACTGGACAAAGTTTTCCAAGCTCTGCTTGCATTGGATATAGGCCAAGCTGATAACCAGAGTATGTCTATGCATTGCTTGATTATATGAAGATAATTCAGATCTCTTATATAGCTGTAATCCGTAAAAATATTGAATCTATCAATATAGCAGGAGATACACTTGTCCAACTGCGCAGTGTACTATCTCAACAGCTTTGGAAGCTCATTCAAGATCAGATTCCAAATGAAATCTGGCTTGAAATCTTTGAACATTATGCAAAGGACACAGATCCATTTACTCTTGCTCTTGTCTGTCTTAAATGGAAGAATCTTGTTCTCTCAACTCCTGCCTTTTGGAACAACTTTGACAGTACTGGTTATAGTTATAATCCTGATAAACAGCATCACCTATTCCGATGTTTGCAGTACTCAAACATTCTGACACTGGATCTGCGCTCTAGTCTCAGTGAAACAGCATTGGTCATTTTAGCAAAGGCAGCACCATTCTCTATCAAGTGGAAGAGATTGTTCAATCCCACATATCACACACAAGATATGGTTTCTACTTTCCAAAGCATTCTTCAAGATTGCAAACTTGATAAGCTGGATACTCTGACATTTGGAATATCAGAGAATCCTGAGCAAGTGCCTATGATTTCTTTATTGGCTTTGCATACACCTGCACTTAAAACCCTGGAGCTTCAAGGGAGCACAATCAGCCTATCTCTTGTGGCATTACCATGGTTGCAACTGACATGCTTTAAAATAATCTACAACCCTGCCCATCTGACTTTGGATATTCTAGAGGCAGCCCCTAGTCTTGAAATATTGACTCTATCATTCATCTATGCAGACACTCAGCATGATATAACTGCTCTTACAAACAAGCCAACTATTCACCTGCTTAGGCTATGTGAATTGGAAATCTATGGGACTACCTTCCATCTGCTAAACAAACTATATCTTCCAGCTCTCAAAGAGATCACTGCTGTAGATATAACAATTGAGACTCTTAATGCTCTGTCTGGAATGATACAGAGATCTGGCTCTCAAGTTCAATCTCTGAGTCTTCAAGGATATTACACATGGCCAGAATTCCAAGTCAACATATTACTTAAGACACTTTCTGCCACCATCTCAAATCTGTTTCTTCAGATGCGGTCCCTGGACATCGAGTGGATTCAGCAGTTGTGCAAGAAAGAGTTTTTCCCTTGCCTTACTTCTATTTCCATTGTGCAAAACAATGAAACTCAGATATCTGTACTGGAGGCTATTGAGGATTTAATTCTCCAGGCCAGTTTACAAACCTTTTATTATGAGAGTTGGTTGCCTACAAACAAGAGAAAAGGGAAACAAGTATGGCAGAAGGCAAGTCAGATGAACAAACTCCGGGCATGCGCAGTGCATATTGCATTTACATATCTGGATAATGATCAAGAGAAAGTATGGTCTCAAGATGATACTAGTGGCAGTTCAGATAGCAGAAGTGATCAGGATGCTGAGTTTCCAAGTGCTAGTAGTCCTATAGAATGGTGAGAATGTATTGTATTTCTGACTGGTTTATGGATATTTGTTTTAAAAATATATATTTTGTTTTCGACTGTTCATAAGCAGCATATTTACTATATATAGGTATTTGTTTTTACCTTATAAGGCTAATCCCAATAAGGAGAATCCTAAAAGAATCCTAAGAATCCTAACTATACCTAATTTGGTAATGCTTCTTCAACTTTTTCTCAACTTTTTCCGCACTGGAAAAAATTTTTTCCAGACTGGAAAAAGTTGGGAAAATAATGAGAAAATAATGAGAAAATAAGTTATTTTCCAGCATGGAAAAAGATGAGAAAATAGCCAGTAAATAAGTTTTTTTCTTAACTTTTTCCAGGCTGGAAAAAGATGGGAAAATAGCCAGAAAATATTGATTTTTCTCAACTTTTTCTCAACTTTTTCCAGGGTGGAAAAAGACAATTTGCCCCCAGTGTGAGGAAATGTGAAAGCCACAGTGTTGATTGGGATGCACTGTATTTTCTGGAAACAATTCCAGATACTGACTCATATAGCGCAGATAATGTGTGTCAAATATCTGCACTATATTATCAGATGTTTCTCGGCTGCTTGCTGCCCAAATTGCAGACACCAAGTCCATGATATTGTTCAGAATATCCTTGATTCGGCCTGTTTTGTCCCTCCAAAGCCAAATTAGTGCAATTGGCATATGAATGGTGAAAATAATTCTCCAGTTGGCTGCACTGATTTTACCACGTTCTGTGGTACCCCAGTTCTTTGGTGCATGGCCTACCCAGCTTGGAAGAATAGTTCTAGTCATACCATCCCAAATGACAGACATAACATCCTTTCCAAGCACAGGACCAGTATTATTGTCAGAGGTATCATCTTCAGAAACCTCAAGAGTTTCTAGTTTAGTCAGAGAAACCTATAATAATAATATTAGTCAAATTCAGAGAAGCTTTAATTTCTTACATCAGCTGCAAGCCTTCGATGAAGCTCTGGAATAGTGCCCTCAGATGGTAGATGCTTTAATATGCATAGCAGTTCAAAAATCCGTTTTGGATGTCTGGGCGACTTGACATCATTATACAGCTGTGAAATAAGCTTGAAGCATTCTTCCTTCTCAGCAGGTTGAATATTGAGCTCTTGTGCACGTTTGACTATCTCTGCTTGAATAGTTGCAATTTCTGCATTTTTAAGGCTTTCTAGAGACTCTTTGCGCACAGTTCTTGAAGGTATGTTAAGGAGCTGATCATCAGGGATATTGTTATTATCCATCTATCTAATACTTTAGCAAGAAAAAAAAATTAGAAAAAATATCAACATACCCATCTTTTCAAACGCAGAATTAGCCAGTCCCTTCTATCACCAGCTACCCGAAGTCGATGTGCATAACACAGGTACCATAATCCCCTGTACTTGACATTTTTGTGCTGCAAAACTAGTTTCAAAAAGTCATTTTCATGTCGATATTTTTTGATAATCTCCATGATTGCAACCATTTCAGCCTGTAGAATATCATCTGTTTGTGGCTTAGGAGGTCTTGCCACTCTTGCACCACTGCCATCCCCACCATTATGCTGAAGATC